GAACACAGGTCAAGAAAGGAATGGGAAGGATTGTGTTGACATGACACTCGCTTTGATGGAAGCCGAGAACACCTCTGCACTTCCACGAGGAATCACTGGGATGTTGGATAAGAGGGTTGGGTTTGCAGCAGGGTTCGTTTTGGTAAACGATACGCTGAATTGATGTCCTAGCGATCATATAACGCGAAGGAGCTTGGGACTAAACCCACGGTCTTCTGCTCAGTAAGCAAAAACGTTTGCCACTAGGCAGACGAGCACCTTTTTAATCACCGAGTTGCTGTTATTACCATGTAGTCATATTAACAAATAAAACGATTGACGAATCTTGAATGTGGATGGGCCTGAGATTAGACTCATGATGTTCTGCTCAGTAAGCAAAAACAGTTGCTCTAAGGCCACCGAGCCCCTCATATCACATAATACCGTTGCTCAAATTTTTGTATCCATTCAAACCCGGAACCAGTGTTGGAAAAGTTCGCGATATTTCACGAAGTTCACCAAGGGAAAAGTCCGCGAGTCATAGAGAGTTTTTGTGAACTTTTCCATCACTGCCCGGAACCAACGACAACAACGAGTTTCGCAAAATACACGATACACAAGCGATTTTACCATAAATCTCTTTGATATGTAAGAACCTGGGACCGCGTTTTTCTGCTCAGTAAGCAGGCCACTGTAACCGACGATCTTTCAAATCCGAAAACTAAAAACTACGAAAAAGTACTTAGGCCTTCATTAGGTTCCACTTTCACGCGACGTTCAATGTTTCAATTTGCTCTTTACGTATTGTTCAGGCTATAAATAGGCTCTTTTCAAAAGTTACGCGAGAAATACGCACAATCGTCGCCTACCTCGCAAAACTGGTTCCAAACGACAACAAAGGCATAAGCAACGATGGATTGTTGAACTTTGCTGGCTGGTGTAGTGCTGCTGAAAAAAGATAAGTCTATTATTTTGGTTAGTGATCGTTTGGATTTGGGTCACCCCACGTTGTGTTTAGGTTAGTATAAATAAATAATACTATTTAGTCATATAAATCACCACAGCTCATTATCTTCAGCGTTATCGGTTTTCGTTTCTGGATCTTTAGTTGCCTCTGTGATATACTTACTTGCGGCATACTATTTTGGGAGTGTATATGAGCGTGTACCATGTACGGTAGCTCATCTCTCATCGTGATGGTGGGACATAGTATACACATTAGAGAGAAAACAAGGAGGTATTAGTATTAGTTATATGTAAACAAACAAAACAAAAGAAAAGAAGAGGAAAGAAGAGGAAAGAAGAGCAGACAAATAAAAAAGGGATGAAGTAGATAACAAATAAAAGATACGTAGGCAGATTATTAGAAAAGGCATTATCCGAGACTCGGCAATCAAATGTCACTCCCGCCGAGATCTCAGCGAAATCCCCTCCCCGCCGAGACCCACACAGCCGAGCTCGGTAGAAAAAACTAAGTGTGTAGATAGATTAGTAGGAAAATAAATAAAACTACTTTATGACTCAAAGTGCAATGAATGAGCGTTAGTTTCGGGATCATTTCAGTGTTAGAGTTATGTTAGTTTTGATCCGTAATCAGCCCTGCTGACCCCTCGAACATTAGTTGCAAGCAGTGGTTGTTAGATAATGCGGCACTGTAACTACTACTATTTTAGAGGTATGATTCGTCAAGTTTATACAACTCAATGTTTCAATTGAGCCAAACTATCTATCTTACAATTACAAAAGCAAACCGCAAATTATATGCAAATGCAAAATGAAACTTGACCAATCATCGTCAATCCCCTTATTACAGGGCAGGGCCTGACGATTTGAATCTAATTTAATTTTGATCAGTTAACGGGCACCATATGGTACATTTTCTCAACATGAACCTATCATTTCCAGCCTATCTGAACTATTTAATAAATGGAAGCCATAACATGGGTTACGCTCCCCCTAAGCGGGCCCTCCGCATCCTGTCTCTGTCTTATCTCAAATACAAAATGCCAATTTCATAAATGATCTTTATTTCTTGTGATTGTGTGGTTTACATGTAAGAATTTTTTTAAGTGACGCAGATGCGTCTTTTCAACTTTAGTACATTTGAGATTTTAATTATTATTTACAGTTCCTAGTCCTATCAGGCCTATTTTAAAGTATGACCACCTTGGTGGGATTGGTTTGATTTGAATTGGAAAAAGGAGACTACTTATAATTACTATTTACAACTACAACTAACCTGATGCCCTCTGAAAATCTATTGAGGCAAATTACTTCTCAACCAGGACGCAACGTAGAAAGCATTTTGGGAGTCCCCAGTTCCTCTAAATCAGTCGCGCCTATTGCAGCCAGCGTTCATCCAAGTCGTCCTGGCCCTGAGTTTAGATGTGGATTGAGGGTCTCCCAGCTTGCTATATTAGGCAAGTACACACTTACTAGCGAACTTTCACTGCCTGATGATGATCATAATTCCAGTGCCTTCAACTCACCTCAAACATCTGCCAGTCGGCAACATTGCCGTTCTCTCCAAAATCAGATTGACATCTTTGCTGACTGGTGTAGTCTAAACCGACTGGTGGTCAACCCAGTTAAGTGTACAGTTATTACTTTCTCACGCAAGAAACAACCGATTATTTTCAACTACAAACTACTAGGCACGACTATCGAACGGGTGCACTGCGTGAAAGACTTAGGCGTTTTTCTAGACTCAAAGCTGACATATTCACACCATATATCGTATGTCGTCGACAAAGCGTCCAGAACGCTTGGCTTTGTCTTCAAGATTACTAAGAACTTCACGGACATTTACTGCTTGAAATCGCTCTATTGCTCTCTCGTACGATCTACGTTGGAATACTGCTCTGCTGTCTGGAGCCCGAACTACAATAATGGGGCCGAGCGAATTGAATCTGTTCAACGACGTTTTCTTCGCTTCGCGCTCCGGAAGCTGCCTTGGAGATACCCACTTCGTCTTCCAAGCTACGAGAATCGCTGCCAATTGATCAATATCGAGCCCTCACGTATCCGAAGAGATGTTTTCAGAGCCTTAACCGTCGCCGATACTCTGCAAGGAAGAATTGACTGCGAAGCAATTCTGCAACAAGTGAACATTAATGTTCAACCTCGATCACTACGCAACAGTCTAATGCTGAGACTTCCACTTCTTCGAACTAATTATAGCATAGGGAGCGCTATTTACGGCTTGCAGCTAGTGTTCAACCGAGTAGCGTCGATGTTCGATTTCCACTTGACACGGAATATGCTTCGCCGAAGATTCTCTGCCTTTTTTGCTGACCGAAGGCGCTTGATACCCAACAGCTAAGTGTAAAAATTAAGACTTATAAATTTTTAGTAACTTGACAATGCTTTCCAAGTTATTTTCGTTTGTAACTGTAGTAACTGTAGTATATGTATGTCGTCTGTATAATCTGTACTTTTTTACAACACATCATTGGGACTATTTCTAGTCTGTTGATGCAACCATAACAAATAAACAAATAAACCTACAACTACTATGTACACCTAACCTACTATATACAAATTGCTTATCAAAGCATGTTCTGATAAATTACATTTTTGTGCAAATTTAGTCTTAATTTCGTTAATTTTGGAATCTATTTTGGCAATGCCTTCCTCTTCATGTAAATTTGTTATTCTAGTGTCGAATGGACGATCAAGAACCATCCTCAGCACTCTATTCTGAGCGACCTGAATTTTGTTCCTGTGAGTCTTTGCACATGATTCCCACACCGGAGCTGCGTAGAGGATCGCAGGTGCTATGATTTGTTTGTAGACGGCCAGTTTGTTCACCCTTGAGAGGCGGGATCTGCGGCAAATCAGCGGATACAGACACCTAACCAAGGTAGAACACTTGACTACAGTTTTCTCTACATGCGAACGGAAGAGGAGCTTTTCATCGATCAACATCCCGAGATAGGTTACTTCAGCGGACCACTCAACCCTTGTGCCATCCATGATTACAGTACAAGATGGAGCCGGTTTCAGTTTGGGCGATTGCCGATGGAGGAACATGATCGCTTGTGTTTTGGAGGGATTGATTTTAATTTTCCACGTGGTGGCATAATCAGCAAAGGCGTTAAGGCATCGTTGAAGTTTGTACAAAATGTACAAAATGCCAATGGTATGAATGTATCTATATATATTGGTCAGGCTTCAGAATCGTCCAGTGGGCAGTGCGCTCTACACTCCAAGTTACCTTTTTTTCAAATTTACCGCAAATTTGATATTTTACCCATTGAGTGTTGATTAGTCACAATGAAACATTGTGACAGAAGTTGAGGTTACTAGTGTATTAAATAATCTAGGTCCTATTTAGGATTATATCTGAAAAATCCAAATCTGGCCAACGCCCACCCTAAACCTAAACCTGTTCTAATCCACCTGAAATGACTAACGTATGGAAGACTTTGACTACCCACCCATGCAATAGCCTCATTCCGTGCCTTATGGCAACTTGATGATTCTATTGCGCTCATCTTCTTGCACCACCCAGGGAGACTTGGTCCTGTACCCAATGCTTAACTTATCTCCTTTCCACTCAGCTACTCCCAATTTCTTGTGATATAGTGGGCGGAATATTATTATATGAGACAATTCAATGCAGACGTCTTTCCAAATTTGGCAGATCGACAGGTAATCGGTGAGTTACCACGATAGTTGCTATTCAACAACTCGACAACGTCCCATCGTCAACGCCTGCTATGAGAATTTCCCATTGCAGACGCCAACGAAATGACGTCATCGAGCTATCGATCAACTACCCTGGTTATCGCCTGGTACCTTATAGCACGATGCTAGGAGGCGAACTGGAAGAATCGATGAGCTACCTCCCCCTACATAGGAAAGATAATAAATAAGTGTGACGAAGTGAACCTTTCGATAAACTCATTGCAGGAGGTCGAGATAAGTCAACTAGATGATGTGATCAACTATTGAGAAAAAAAAACAACATGCTTATAATGTATAACATAAGCACTTTTTATTTTCGTCTAAGATACGCATCACATCGTAAAGCTATCCTATCGTTCATCACAAACTGACTAACTCAGTCAACACACAATTTTACAAACATTCCGCCTATTTCAACATTCAACAGAAGCTTAAAGCGCTATTTCCTCATTTCGATTGTTTCGCGTAGCACGCAGTACAGAACGAGAAATCTGCAACTGCAACCGCTCGATGTTCTGCTGCCATGTGTGATAGTTGTTTAGATTCCATTACATTTTTTACTAGCATCACCAGTCAATCTCTCCACGTCACCCGCCGGCATGGCCTTAGCATCGCGCGTATCAAATGCATCCTAGTGCTGGGTAACAACTCATGCATCGATAATCAGCCACTTTTCGTTTATCTGCTCGATCTGCTTTGTCAGGATCGGATTCCGGACACGTATCTTCAGTTCCAGTTTGCCACCGGCTGTTTTACGACCGTCCATCAGCTGTAGAGAGTGAGATGCCAACCGCAGGACACACGCAGGACAAAACGGAGAAGGAAAAATGAGAAGGTAGAAACAAAAAAATATGCATCAGTGTGAGAAGTGTGAGAAATTGAATCTGTTTACTAGCTGTTTGAGCATGGTTTTGAGAGGAAATGTGCTGAACGCTTTCTCCGAAACGTGATATTGATTAATCACTGTCCAAAGGAATATGAGAAGAATATTGAAGATTGGTAAAAACAGGTTTCATACGAATATTTAGGATGGTTCTACAAAGAATGTACGTAAGCTTTACTGCCCATAAAAGGATAATTGTCCCATCTTTGCTTGATTTCCTATTCATATGGGACAGTTATGCTTTTATGGGCAGTAAAGCTTACGTACATTTTTTGTAGAACCATCCTAAATATTCGTATGAAAGAATGTACGTAAGCTTTAATATTGAATCTTTCCCTCTGAACCCGTAAGAACAGTAAAGGCACAATAAAGAAGAGCGTTTCAAAATTCAAATACCTACCGGGAACGAATCGTGAATCTCGCATTGCGTTTCCAGTGGCTGCAACTTCACCGTGACCGTTCCAATGAGGGTGTCCGAGCGAAGGAAACCTCTGAAACAGGAGGATGAAAAAATGCTAGACCTGGATGATGGACAACAACAGCAGCACGGGAAGCATCCAACACCCCAACATGAACATCTGAAAGCGGCGCCAACGCCGTCGTCGTCGGATCATCGGACAGCGCGATTCATCATCATGACGAAGCAGGTTTTTGTTTTAACACAGGATGCGATTCGTCATAAGCAACCGAAAATGGAACGGAAGAGAAAGGAAAAACTTCTATTGACCTACAACAACAGTATTTAGATAGGGAAATCTGACAAAAAAGGATTTTCCTATTCGCGTCTACGAAGCTTCTGTAACTCTTTACTCCTATGGGGAAATCCCATAAGCAAACTTTAATGGATGCGTGAAACATGGCGGATTTTTTCTTATTCGGTCACACCACTGAAAAATCCCGTAGCCCAGTGTCAATCTTTGAGAGCAAATGCCATGTCCGCCATGTTTCGTAGTCGCGAATACAGCTCTACGGATAGGGTTGGCATGCAGGGATATTTTTAATTCGTCAAATTATACGTTTGGTTTTAAAGGTTTTAAAAACATAGGTACCGTAAAGTGCCATAATTGTACGCAACTAAGGCCTAGTTCTGCGCAGTTTTAAAATTTCCAAAATAATTATAAGTTGTATACTGTTTATAATCGCATATCAGTCCCATACGGATATTCGTCGATTTTTAAATAACAACGCACTATCAATTGGCTTCTACTTTCATTTTACACGGATTTTCGTGATTTACACGGTAAGTTTTTAACGATTTTTCGACAACGATACAACCTATCGACATCACAATCACATTATCCGTTTCAAGCTATAGGTAATCGAATGGCATACTTTAAAAAAATCACAATTTTTGGTGTAAATTCAGAATTTTTTTAAATATGTCTATATGGACCATAGCATGCTATAATTACACATGGCATCAAAATCCGATTTTTTCAAAACATTTAAGCATGTGAAAAATCAAAATCTGGTAGGTTTTTTTTACACGGCTTTTTTACACGGTACATATCCCCCGTGTAAAAAAAGACCTGAGTGTATGTGATAAAACTACGGACTTTGATAGTGAAAAATGTGAAAACAACATCAAGTCAGAGTTGGTTGAAAAGCCTGTACTAATACCAACATGAGGCTTTAGTGTGATAATTGATTAACAAGAGAAAGTTCTGAAGAGGATAGTTCCGCTCGAGTACGGTCCCGGGTTCATGAAATTTGGCACCGACAAACCGACATGACACTTAATTCTGACTTATGTCCGAAAATCGTAAATGTGCAGTGATCCGAACTGTCAAAACCATAGGATTTTTTTATCTAGATAAAACTACAAGGGACAGCCATATAAGGTTGTACGTAATGGTGACGTAGGACTACGTGGTCTTATATAATAAATGTTATTTGTTAACGGCAGCAGGAGCTTGTGTTTTGTGTAGGAATAGGAATTTGAGCGAAAACCTTTTGATATGAATTTTAGTTGGGCCATGTTCAGAAACTTAACTCTTTTGGAAAATCTTGGTGACCTTGAAAAGGGCCAATTGTAGTACACGCTTAAAGCCGTTGGAAGATGATGATGACGTGTAGGCAGCTGGATCGGACCGGACAATCCCATATTCTTCGGTTCAATGATTGGGCACTCGCAAGAGTCTCGGCCCGTCTGCTGCTGGACAGGGGTTGAACTGGTGTCTGCGACAGTTTGGAAGGCCGCAGAATATCAGTGTCCACCCAGCTAAAGCCCCTACCCTTTTTAGTTTTTATCGTCAAACTCCTTCTCTCAACAAGTTGGTAAATCTTAGCTTTAGCAGAAAGACGCTCAACACTTTTTTCGGCGAATTTATGATCCTTTTTCACGTCATGGTTCTTCTCTAGGCCTGTTCAGATAAATTAGTACTTTTATTTATTTTCTCTACTGCGCTACATCAAACGAGTAGAAATAAGAAGGGATGTCGGTTACGCGCTCGAATAATTGAAAATTCGATAAATATTTCATCGAACAGCTGGAAAAATCTTAACGATTAATCGTTAATCGAATAATTGGAGGCATCCCTAGAAAACAGTGTAATTTCATGTTTTTTTGTGGTCCTCCACCAGTAGAATTGCAACCAACAAAGTGTAACCCATGAACCAAAAGCGGTGCGATGCTAGTTTTCATTGCTATGACGACGACTGAATTGAGGGGCTTCAAAGCAGAGGGGTGAAAGTCAATTCTCTTCATCGATTTCCTCTTTTGATGACCATGGCATCACTAACCTATTTCGCACTATTTCTGCTATGCTCTTCTATCATCCAGGAAAACAAACGTATCAATGAATGTGTTTGCCGTCGAGTTATTAACGAAACAGAAAGTCGATGAAAAGAATCGATCAAAATCACTTGCACCCCTGCTTCCAAGTTTGGTTACAAGATTACAACTCTGGAGAGCATTTTGTGTGGTCGTTGGGGCATGTTGTTTTGAATATGTCGATGAGTGTGCAAAATGTTACGCAATTGCATCCTCCCTATTCGCACACGCCCGAAGATCGCAAGCGAATGCCACTTCACCTTGTTTCGTCTAGAAACGATTCTCTGATGACTGTGTTGGGGAAGCATCATATGCATGTACGTAATTCGTGAATTTGTTAGTTATTTCGACGCTTTTGGACAATGCTTGACATTTACCACTTTTTCTATAGTTTCTTGTTGGAAGTTGGAAGCATTGTTATCGATGCGTGGACATATTTCTGATCGATTGGTGAGAAAATTATGGAAATTAGTCCAGGGGCAGCTGAGTTATTAACGTTCAAAATCTTTCATAATTTCGTTAAATGTTCCATCTTCGGTTTTTACAAAGTGTACCCCCATATAGAAATCACAGACGTAGTTCTACGTCAAAAATAATGATTGCAGTTCGTAACTTTCGCAATTTCCCAGTTGGCTAAAAATCTCCCTACTAAAGGAAAAAAAAAATCAAAGTTCGTTAATTCGACTGCCATTTTCTCAATGCCTACTTTTTGCATATGGGACTTTATTATATGATTAGAATTGAGGCGAACTTGTAGGAAGCTATCATCCGCTTTTGTATGGAAAAAAATAAATTTTAATAAAATCGCAATCGCGGAATTATGGTAACCCTATACAGTTAGATATTTTTTTGCGTTTCATGAGCCAGAGTTCCAATCCTGTATCCATCTGTCGACAACACACGACGCACACAGGCTTTTGACGAGAATGACGGGCAGGACAGACAATGAATAGTGCACAGAGAAGTGCTTGTACATGTTGTGATGCGACGACAGAGGTTGAGGTGCTAGATGCGTTTGAAAGTTTTCATTCTTCTCCAGTGCTGTCCGTTCACACTTTTCGTCAAACGGTAAAATGCAATTTGATTCGATTAAACTTTCATGTCCACGGAGAAGGACATGTGCATGAAAATTTAGAATAGATTAGAATCCTCACCCTTTGGAAAAAACTTCACATTTGAGCGCCTGTCTTTTGAATATCCGCTGACACGCACGTTGACTTCTATGAATTTCGATGCTCTGTCGGTGGTTATACTCCGGATTGTCGCTGTCTTTTACGATGCCGGTTTTCGCTTTTAAAGGATCATCCTGCCGATTAAAACCATTTGAAAGGTGATAAAAATCAAATCTTCATGCACACTCACCTGCGGATATGGAAACTCCAGCTTCACGTACGTATCCACCTCCTTCGGGTTAGGAACATTATAGTTGATACCCCTAACTATCATAACCTCAACTTCGTTGTCGGTTAATTCCGTATTACACTTGACTACGTTAAACTGCTTCATCTCGTAGTGGAACTTCGGAACCGGTAGTTGCTTTCTGTGTGCCAATCTCACAAAGTCCAGATCCTTTTGAACACTAAGAGCTAGATTCTCGAATCGATTCGTACCGGCCACATCGCCCATCGCCCGGTGATGATCCCTAGTGTTCCTACACATAATCAGCTGCTTCGACAGTTGCTCCTCTAGACGCGTGTTCAGATCTACATCCGCATCGTCCGCTGGAGTGCAATCCTCTTGGGCAACGACCGTGAAGGAGTCCTCCAGCGAGGATCGCTTGGAAGGTGCTATCGGAATGGTGTTCATATCGATCGGGATTCCCCCGCGGGCGGTATCGATCAACTTTTCCAAACCCTTGAACACTCGAAGGTATTCCTTGGCTTCCTCTAGCTCACCGGCATTCTTCGCCTCGACGGCCGCCTGGCGGAATTCCTTCTGGCGCTCCAGCAGAAGGACAATCTGTTTCTCGTTCTGTGTTTGGGGCGATTTCGCTACCTTGCTGGGACCTGGAATTGAGTGAGAGAATTAAAACCGTGATGCTCTGCTTCCGAGATGCTTTAGTAGGCTGGATTGAAACTTATTCCTGCAGTCATGTTCTTTAAAGCTTTTCAATAGCGTAGCTTGGATTCAAAATAGAGAAGGGCAGATATGTTTCTGTTGTGGTAGGTCATTAGGACAATTATTGCCAAATGCCGTTAGGGTTGAATTATCATCCATACTGTGTCATACTATATCAGTAATATTCCAATTTAAAAAATCAACAGTTCTCGATTACTTTTTCGAAGGGACGTATCAGCTTTTGTAAACAATGCCTTTGATCGTCGGTTTGGCGTAACTGATAACTCGCCAACGCATACTAACACCACTATATCAGGTAGGGGAAAATTTCCCCTATCTGATGGTAGTGTTAGCATACGTGGGAAAGCTACCAGTTACGCCAAATCGACGATCAAATGCATTGTTTACAACAGCTGATACGTCCCTTCGAAAAAGTAATCAAGAGTCATTGAAAGATACCAAATTAATTTAAAGACATACAAAATCTACGATATCAAAAATAATAGGTTTGTTCCCGTACTTGCTTTTGCTGTAAGTTGCTGTAAGACAATAATACAGGAATCCCCGATTCTCGCGATGGGTGGTGCCGTCTACACTCCGGCATTTCTCAACAATCTTTCAACCAACTGAGCTGATTTGTATGTGATTAAGGTCAACCACAAGCTTACCACTTACAAAAAGTCAGCTTAATTGGTCTAAAGACTGTTGAGAAATGGCGGTAGGTAGACGGTACCACCCATCGAACATTATGGGGGGGGGGGGGGTTACAAATAAAAAAAGCATGTACGGGAACAAACCTAATGTCTTCAATCAACCATTTTGTCAAGCTTCTGCATTAATTTTTCATTAGATGTCACTGCTGTTGGTGCGCGGTGACATCTATCGGAAAGTATGCATAATAAACCAAGAGTTACAGAAAGTGAAAACCTTATAAATGTGTATTAAATGCATCCCAAGTGCATACACCGAAAATAGTTTTTATGTAGTTTCCATTGGAATCGCAAAAGGATTTTCATCCATAAACAAAATTAATGGAATTCATCTAAATTTCACATAACATTTATGAGATCGCGTTGATTCTATATGATTTTTCATATGAATTTCATCGGCCTCATAATATTCATGTGATTTTGTGGTGAGATTTTTAGCTATGTCATCACATGAAAGCTAAGTGAAATTCACATGGTTGTTAGATCGCGGTCGCTTTTTACGCGGTTTTTTTTTACGCGGATTTCGGAATTTACACGGTTTTTTTACGCGGATTTTGGTTTTTTTTTACGTGGATTTCAGAATTTACGCGGTTTATCGTTATACACTAGAGTCGCTTTTTACGCGGTTTTTTTATACACTGTCTTTTTGTACGCGGTTTTTTTTTTACACTGTCTTTTTTTACGCGGTTTTTTTTACGCGGATTCCGGAATTTACGTGGTTTTTTTTACGCGGGACGTATCACCCGCGTAAAAAGCGACTCCAGTGTACTTCCACGGGTAGCTCTTACTTCTATGCAACTTTTTTTTCCTGTGTTGGGGACATAATACCACCGCGACCATAACTTTGATCTATTGTGGTGTATCATCTTTTGATTTTGCCGTAACGCAATGGCAAGATGTTATTTATATGAGCAACCACCACTACTGTTGTTGGCAATTATCCCAAACAGGTAATGCATTCCTTATGAAATGTATAACTTGATTGGGAGAAGCAGCCCAGATTTCCCAGGGTTCCATAAGCCCCTTATCTAGATACATACGTCGTTTGTGAAATAGTGCAACGCAGTCACACAGCAAATGTTTAGAGCTCTCACTCTCTAGTTTACAAAAACGGCATCTGTCTTCATCAACTTTTCCGATAAGTTTAAGGTGATATTTACTAGGACAGTGTCCTGTAACCAAACCAGTATATGTACTCAAATCGTGTTTCGATAAGGTCAGCAGTTTTTATGTGTGCAAAGCGTTGGGCTCTATGAAACGTTTTGATAACCGGGCATTTAAGGTATTATTCCAGTTGCACTGTACCTTTATTCTTTCCCAGTTATTGAACTCCATTTTAAGAGCACATAAAGATAATCCTAAAAATGGTTCAGGTCCAATAAATTGCATTGATGATCCCACTTTAGCCAATTGATCAGCTTTTTCGTTCCCTTCGATTCCGCAATGACCAGGAACCCAGTATAGGTTAGCCTTATTACAGTAGGACAAATGCTGCAATAGCTTAGTGCATTCCCAAACCAGTTTTGAAATGCAAGTTTTGGACTTTAGAGCATTCAACGCTGCTTGACTATCTGAACAAATACATATGTTTGCATTTTTACAATTTCTTTTTAAGCAAATCGTGGCACATTCTAGGATGGCATATATTTCAGCTTGAAACACTGTTGGCCATTTTCCCATTGGCACCGATAGGCTGATCCCAGGACCACTTATTCCAGCCCCAACCATATTCACCCCTATTCTGTATTTCGTTTCGAACGAAATTCTCATACAAAAAAATATTTTTTTGTATGAGCATTTCGTTCGAAACGAAATACAGAATAGGGGTGATTATCTTGTTTCGATCCATCCGTATAGAATACTATTGACCCAGGACGAAAAGATGGCCCTCCTGTATTCCAATCATAACGAGTCACTTCAGGAATTTTGAATTGGTGATTGAAGTTGTTACGCTTTAACATCCAGTCTTCATTCTTCAGGGCTGATAGCACCAAATATATCCAAAAATAGTGATTTTAGTGACTAAAATGAGTAAAAAAGTGACCATTAAGTGACTTTTAAAGCACAAAAAGTGACCAAAAAAGGAGACCCAAGAAGAACTTATTGAGCTCCAATTTAAAAATGTATAAGAAGATTTTAAGCATTTTGTCAATATTAGTAGTATTTGTTCTTGTATGATCGGTATCTGTTGTAAACAGACATGAGTGATTGATTTTTACACTAGCCTGCTGCTGGCTACTCTTTCATTTTGTTCAATTTTCAAGATAAATCCTTTTTTCAGTAAACCTGTTCCAATTCATAATTGTTGCCCAAAATGTGTGTTACATTTTAAATATTATGCTATGAAAATTCATTATAATTATCGTTAATAAAAACAATCGCTATTGTATGGTTTTTTGCGTGTTTTATAATACAACAACCTATATAATCCGTCTTCATCTGCAGGAAAACACATCTAAATTTCAGCTGTTCGATGGAACACAACGTACCAAGAAGACTGGCAATTCTACTAGCTTTCATGCGCATCCATATAGTATTTCATTTGAACAAATACCCTCAAGCTTTGAGCGTTGAATGGCGAGACTGTGACCCTCGGTTGGTATTGTATACAAGCACTTATCCCAAGTAACAAATCTAGAGCTGCTTGGCTATATTCCAAGTTTATAAAGGTTTTATTGCAGCTGCAACCATTACCAACAGCTTTATGACGGTCATATACAATGCAAGTCATGAAACATTCTTATAGCTATCTACAAAACCCCTATAAAGCTAATTAAAAAACCAACTGATGCTTATGCTATTTTCACTTATGAAAGGTTTTATGATTGCTTTGAAGTATACAAAAAAGTAATATAAATTACCCTTATAAAACCAAAAAATTAATCCTTTCGTTGCTTTATAAATAAGCGCAATAAAACTAGTTGGCCATGAAACAGTTATTTTAAAACAATTATAAGCATTCAGTTGCGACTTGTCAGAAATGTAAATAGGTGGTTTATTTTTACAACATAGAAAAGAATCAAAACTTTCCGGTACTTCCAAGCGGAGCGCAAAGAAAATCAACAAAATTGTTAGCATGAGCATGAAAACATTTCGTGTATACGTCTCACTCGCATATACATGGGGTGACACGGTCGAATCTTGGTCGAAATGGTGACAGTCCTAGGGCAAAAAGGTTGAAATCACGCATAACTTTTCATAAAGGTTAATGTACCATTCAAAACTTTTCTAAATGTTTGTAAAATTTATTGGTTGCACCCGTAGAATAGGAATATACATTTGCCCTCATATAAAAAAATGAATTCAAGCTGAACATTGCATTAGGTTCTAAGTAATATTGACAGATTCGCTTCGTCAACTTTCTCTTTGCATCCCCACGGTCATGTAAAGACATTCCCAGGTATTTTCAGCACTTAAATCGATAAAAGAAGCTTTTATCTAGCATTCAATACGACAAACACATCAAGAAACGGTTCTGTGAATAACTTATCAACGAAAGAGAAAGTTGCGATTTTTTGCGCTTTGGGAAATATTAATGTTCAAAAATTGTGTTTTTTTTTCTCGTTTTTTCAACAATATTTTTGAAATTTGAAGCTTAATCCAGTATGTTTCTTCACAAAAGCTATTTATTTAGTGTATTTGCATAAGAGAATAATAAAACATTATAAAGCTGTAAGCAAAAAAAACCAAAACAGAAAAAAACCATATTTTCGACATTTTTTTCTTTAACTCCATATAACTTGGAACCAGTAGACAGTGGAAATTTAACGTCTTTGAAATAGCTGTTTATTTTGTCAAGATAAACAACTTTGCCCAAAACATCAAGTCTCCGGAAGAGTTTTGAACTATTTGTTTATGTCAATAGATGGTCCTTATTATGACGAGAAATTTTGCCGAAGACACCAAGTCGCGGAAATGCTTCGTTTCGGAGTTATTAATTTTGATCCGCTAGGTTGCATTCCTGACCCAGTGTGCAATGTAAGCATTAGACATTTTAAGAAATTGCGCTTGGTGTTTTTCTTGCCTGCTGTCCTCTGTCGCCATATTGTCATTATGAAAATGCCATTAGCCTTGGAATAAAATCCAAGAAATTTCAATAAAATAATGGCTAAATAAGAGATCCGAAATGATTTCCAGTGTGCATTGGTATGAATTTATGTATTGAGATCAATTTTCTGTAAAATTAAGGTAATTCCATCAAATTCATTTGATTTCTGAAACAATCGTTTTTGTTAACT